GCTAGCCAACCAGCCTGAGGTGAGGCTGCAGAGGCAGCACAAGCTGCTGCAGGAACCTCATGAACAGTTCTTGGGCGAGTTTCTCTCAATGGCAGCGTTATCACAAGTTGAGCTCAACAATGCTATGTAAGGTCAACCAACACATGCATGTCCTTAGCCAAGAACAACGGGGCGGAGCAAACCAAACCAAACCAAGGCTCAGTGCTCCTCTCCCACTGTCTATAGGGGTCACACTTACACTTCCTCATCAAGCATCCTTTCACGTGTCTGCTATATCAAGACATCTTTTCACCTCTGTGCCCCAGCAAACATTTGACATAGCTAACTTTCCAAAGAAACTAGAAGTTTCCACTTCAGTTAACCCTAGAGCTCAGTTCTCTGTTCTACTGAGAGGCTTTAGAACACTGCATGACCTCTCCTAGGGCTCCTCTGGATGTAAATGGTCCAGGACTGGGACCTGGACTCATTGTCCTTCCCTACCTTTGTGGAAAATAGAGCCTGTCTAACAGCCAACAAGCCCAGCTTTGCTTCACCAGGACTAGAAGTTGTCAGAGGTCTAGAGGACCCCAGACTCCTCTCTCAGAACTGAGGATCCCACAGGGACTTCCCTGGCCAGGGCCACCAAGGCTAGAAAGACTTGTGTGTCCAGTGGGACCTAGTTGGAGACACACCTAATAGCCTATCCTGCCTGCTGGGACAGGGATATGTTGTTTCTTCCGGTTGGCCAGGGAGGAAATTCTAGAGGTGCCAGCATGTGGAATGGTGAACGACGCCAGAAATCTTGGTGGGTAGAGCAACTCTGAGACCCCCCAGGACACACCTGAGATAGTAGGTGCCTCCCTGCTCCCTGTCAAATTCCTGGCCTGGAACTTATGACACATTTCACATAAAGAAATGTGACCTGTGGTCATGTAGACCCATAACAGAGTTCTCCATGCTAATGAGGTACCTAGAGGCCCTGAGGGTTTAGCCAATAACCTTCTCTTCCCAGACATCCTTCCCCCCTTCCACAAAAGGTATTTAATCTTGGGTCTACCCTGGGAAGTTGGTATGGAACGTATCCATTCTCTATGCTGAACAACCAATAAACAGTTTGGAACCAAGGACTGTCTCTTTCATCGAGAACTGCTGTGGGGAGCATGGAGCAGGCCTTCACCTACAGAGCTGCAGCCTAAGCCTCCTGCAGAAGGCCTCTCTGTGCTTCCAGCCACAACCACAGCCAAGCTAAGGACCTTCACAGAGATGAGCATCTGACTCTGCTCTCAACTCCTTGAGACTCAGTGGAGTCTGAATGTTTGGAGTTTGGGAGTGCCTGGTCCTAGATTTGTCACAGGCCGTGGACCCCTGATACTTTGCTCCCGACTCCTCTGTGTGGTGTCACCCCATGGGCGACTGGGTGCCCCAGGGTCTGGGAACCACAGGTTCAGCTTTCCTATATCTCAGACTGCGTACCCACAGAAAGATGTCTTGGTGCTTCCCTGAAGCCCAGCACCTGCCCAGCGGGTGTGTGGGATGAGCGCAGTCACCATTTTACCTCCCCAGACCATGCCCTGTGGCGGGGTGGAACACAGACCCACATCAACATCCCTTCCCACCAGATTCCCTAGCTCATCCAAGGCATGCCTTATTCTTCCCAATATATCAGGAAGTACTGAAAGCTATACACTGAAGTGGGTTCTAGATGGCTATAGGGCTAGCCCCATGCAGAGCTGGACAGGTGGCCAGCCCGACTTCCCTAGATCACAATTGCTGGGCGGGATGCAGTGTACTCTTACTTGGGTGCAAGATCAAGTTCACCATCATGTCTGTCCAGTTGCCTTTTAGTGACTGGGGTGGGAACAGACTGCTCACATGGACATCGAGTGTGTTGGGCAGGCATCAAGGTGCTCCTGAGAGCACAGGCAAAGGTTCCATGGCCAGGGGATACAAGGTCAGCCAGGGGGTAGGTGAAATGTGGAGGAAGGTGACAGCAGAAAGGAAGGCGGTCCCAGGTCCTATGAGTCTATCTGCCATGGTGAAAAACTGGCTTTCACCCAAGGGCAAGGGGAACAACCAAAGGCTTTTTTTTTGTTGTTGTTTTTTTGTTTTTTTTTTTTTTGTTTTTCGAGACAGGGTTTCTCTGTGTAGCCCTGGCTGTCCTGGAACTCACTCTGTAGACCAGGCTGGCCTCGAACTCAGAAATCCGCCTGCCTCTGCCTCCCAAGTGCTGGGATTAAAGGCGTGCGCCACCACCGCCCGGCCCCAAAGGCTTTTTAATATATACATTTTTAATTTATGTGTGTGAATGTTTGGCTTGCATGTCCGTATGTGTATCATACATGTGTTGGTGACCACAGAGACCAGAAGAGGGCCTTGGATCACCAGGAACTGGAATCCGAGTTAAGTGTGGGTCCTAGAAATACAGAATCCTTCTGGAAGGGCAACCCCTACTCTTTACCGTTGGACCATCTCTCCTGTTTCTACCAGAGGCTTTTAAATACTAGACTACAACTCCATCAAGGACTGACTTGTTTTCTTAAGAGCTTGGACACTGTGTCATGGTCCCAGCACAGAGAAAGAGGCTAGCCAAACGGGTCTTAGTGAACATAAACAGAGGTGCGTGGTAGACTGTGAGAATATATCACAACTGTGAGAATGTGCAGGGGTAATGTGAGGTCTTGGGGGCACTCAGTAGAGGGTAGGGATGGCAGCGGTTGCCTTGGAAACAGTGATGCTGAGGTAGCTTTCAGGAGCATGCTAGTAGAAGGGCTGGGAAGACATGGGGGAGCATGAGGCTTGATCAGGGCTTGGAGAACATCTTCTTGAGAAGCCACCAATGTCTGAGTGTCTCGGTACCCAGATTGACAGGCCATGTGATTAGGGAACCCAGTGCTTGATGACTAAGGAGGGTCACAAGTTCTAGACCGACTGGGGCCACATAGGGAGCCCTTGTCTTTTTTTTTTTTTTTTTTTAGGATTTTCGAGACAGGGTTTCTCTGTGTAGTCCTGGCTGTCCTGGAACTCGCTCTGTAGACCAGGCTGGCTTCGAACTCAGAAATCTGCCTGCCTCTGTCTCCCAAGTGCTGGGATTACAGGCTTGCGCCACCACTGTCTGGCAGGAGCCCTTGTCAAAAAAATAAATAAATAAATAAAATAAAAATAAATAAAAAGTAAAATGTAAAGGATGAGACCAGAAGAAGGTGGGCGTAGCTATGGAGAGCGACACTCCGGGTGAGTCTGTTGCTGTTAAAGGTTCAGCTGGACATGGCACAGCATGCCTTTAATCCCAGCACTGGGAGGAAAAGGCAAACAGTTTGAGTCTGAGGCTAGCCTTGACTACAGAGTGAGTTCCAGGACAGTATAGGCTACATAGTTACATAACCACACAGGAGACAAACAGACAGACAGAAAAGTAAGTAAAAGTCCAAGCAGCACAGTCTAAACTCAGGCTGTCATTTTAACAACTTGGAAGAGACCGAGGCAGGAGAATTGAGGGTTCAAGGCTGGCCCAGGCAATATAGTGAGATGACATCTCAAAAATAAATACTGAGGAGCTGTATCAATGTCTCAGTGGTTAAGTGCACAGGCTGTCCTTTCAGAGGACCTGCCACGCCCACATGGCATCTCATGACTGGCTCTAACTCCAGTTCCAGTGTGAGCCTGATGCTCTTCTAACCTCTTCAGGGCACTGCACGTGCACCAAGAGGTGTGCAAATGAACACACATGCTGGCAAGACAACACTCATACACCTAAATAAAAATAAACCTTTTGTCCAATTCCCAGTACTAAAATAAACAAAAATATGTCTCTGTGAACTCAGTGTGACACACATCTGTAATCCCAGCTCTTGGGAGGCAGAGGCAGGCAGATTTCTGAGTTCGAAGCCAGCCTGGTCTACAGAGCGAGTTCCAGGACAGCCAGGGCTATACAGAGAAACTCTGTCCCGAAAAACAAAAACAAAACAAAACAAAACAAAATTATTATCTAAGACATTACTGAGAATTACCGGGCTGGCCTATGGCTCCAGGCCCTCCTGACTCAGCTTCTTTAATATTGGGATTATAGGCATGCCACCATTTTTAAAAATTATTTTTAAGATGAAAGTGTTTAAAAGCCACTTGAAGTGGCGTACGCCTTTAATCCCAGCACTTGGGAGCGTGAGGAAGGTGGATCTCTGAGTTCAAGGCCAGCCTGGTCTACAGAGTGAGCTCCAGGGCAACCTGAACTACACAGAGAAAGCCTGTCTCAAAAAAACAAAACAAATAAATAAAAAGGCATATGGAGATGACCAGCGGGCTGCCAACAGGTGTCTTTTAGGGAGAACACGAGATTCAAGATCAGGGCCGCTGCATCTTTTCAGCCCTCCAGCGTCACCTCAGTGCCTGGCACCAAGAAGAACCAGGCACGCGTGTGGAATGTAAAGCGAAGGGCTAAGAAGGCCTTACAATTTTCCAGATCTGTCCGGCCAAGAAGCTAACTGGAGCAGAGGCAGCGAGTGTAGACAGGTCTTCCTGGCCGGGGATGTGGGATGCCCCTGCAGCTGGGAGAGCTGGGACCAGGCCAGCTCGCACTTTGAGGAGTTGCTCAGCTTCTCGCAGCCTCGGGTGTAGGGCGGTGGCCAGTTGTGGGTCTGTGGCGCGCTCACGGGCTACAGCCCCACACTCGGGGATCCCGAGGACAGCTGGAGTTCGTACGCCGAAGGTCTGAAAACACCGGACAACCCGCGCCTCCAACAAGTTTGCCCGGCTCTTCGGCACAACAGCCCCAGTAGACTCAGAAACGCGGGGCGGAGTGGCCTGGCTGTCGCTAGGCTATTCAGGTCGCCGCCCGTTGCCGGGCAAAGCCACACCGTGCACGCTCCCATTGGCCGCAGGTGGCCGTGCCCCGCCCGACAGGTAGTTCGTCCTGCACTCTGGTTATTGGGCCGCGGCCGCGCGGCCCCCCGAGGATTGGCCCAGGTGGCGGCCCCGGGGAGCCCTCATTGGCCACAGGTGCCTCTCGCCCCGTGGATTGGCCCTCTCGACGGCCAGGTTCCGCCCCTGCCCAGTGTGCCCCCCGCCCCGCGCACCGCCCAAGTTCCGCGGAGTTGGCGAGGCGGGTGCCGTCGGTCCCGCGCTGCGCGCTCCCTTCCGCGTTCCGCCGTCTGCCCCGCCTGGCAACCTGGCCCTTCTCCGGGGCCGCTAGCCATGGCCGGAGCGCCCTGGAAGCAGCGCTGACGGCGGCTGGCGGAGTGCGCCATGCCCAGCAGGACGGACCCCAAGATGGACCGGAGCGGCGGCCGCGTCCGTCTGAAGGTGCACTACGGCGGGTGAGCGCGCAGCGCCCGACAGCGGGCAAAGCGGGTTGCGCGGCGGCGGAGCTTCGAGGCTGTCGGTGCTGCGCGCGAGGGAGGCAGGGAGGCGACGGCGAGGCGCCCCGGGAGCTGCGGTGGCGCCCTTCAGTGTGGCCCGAGGGAAACCTCGAGGGCGGGGCGCGCTCCGCGTAGCTATTTCTCCCTGGGCGCACACAGCAGGCGGGTGTTGTTGCGCTCTTAGCCGTGGTCTCAGTCAGGGACATTAAGGACAAACTTGCATGGTTTAAAAGTTTTCATCAGATTGTGAAAACTTCTAGTGCATTAAAAAAAAAAAAACAACACCCAAGGTTATTTGAATTGGCCGCGGTTTAAATGTAAGGAAAACCTTTGACCCAGGTAAAGGCACACACAAGAATGCTTGAAGTTGTGGGAACATTAAGAGTACATTTTCGCAGCTTTGGTTTGGGGAACAGAACTTTTTGGAGAGCTCCAGAAAGAATACATACATACAGTCTTGCCCTGTTTTATAGGACAGGAATGATGGACTTTTCCGTCACATTCCTGGAGATGATTTTGGGGGCTGGCCTCGGCCCTTAGCCCTGGATTCCACCTTATTTTCCAGGAGGGAGAGGGTGGAGTGTGTGACGGGGAGGGGGGGTGGCGAATAGTGGCTTGAGCACTTAACAGTGGTCAGTATGGTTTCCCAGGAGCATTGAGTGATGACAGCGGAGTGGTGGTGTCGGTTTTCTGGTGGCTGGTTCACCCAGACTGGGCTGGAGAATCCCATAATCTTGCCTCTGATTGTGTAGACAGAAAGAGGGTAGAGCCTAAGGCTCTGATGGCTTCTTCCTTAGGTGCTGTGTGTCCTAGAACCAACCTGGGTACTCCCAGGTCAAGGGTCGAGGGTCGCTGCTCTTGGGAAGGAGAAAGGGAGTGGAGTGGAATGCTGGTCCTGTGGCTGAACTGGGCTCTCGGCATTCCTAGGAGTTTTACAGAGTGGCCCGTCCCAGCCACAGAGACTGTGGCTGTGGTCCTTTGAAGGTAGTTCCTTGCCTGAGTAGAGGTCTCTCTTTTCAGCCTCGGGGGAACCCTCTCACTATAGCCAACTTCTGGTGGTGCTGGATTTGGAGGCAGGTTTCTAGTAGAACCAGAGAAAGAAAGATTTTAGGGGGTGGGGGTTATGGTAGCAGCCAGCCCCACCCAAAGATCTCAGGTCTGCAGCCTTGCCTCCTTCCTGAAGGGCCCCTGCCAAACGGGAATGCTGTGTCCTCCAGCTTGCAGATTCTGTAGTGAGCCTGTTAAAGCTGGCTCATCTGCCTGGAACCCCCAAGCTTAAACTGATCCACCCTGCAGGATCCACCCTGCCCTTAGGGCGTGTTCAGCCAACACCTTAGGGCCGTGGCTCACCTTGGACAGTTCCCCCTGTCCTGAACTTGTCAATCTTACCCACCCCTCCCTCCCTTTTGCCCCCGGGGAGCACTTTGGTTACTGGCAGTGTAATTCAACCTGTTGACTCCAGTTTCCTCAACTGACAAAAGCGGCGCCCCCTTCCCCTTCCCCTTCCCCTTCCCCTTCCTTCCCTACCTCCCCTCTCCCTTTCTCCAACCCTTCCTGCCTTCTTCCCTTTCTCCCCACTTCTCCACACCCCCGTACCCCTTCTGTACCCCCTCTCCTTTCATCTCCCCCTGGAAGAATCTCCTCCACAGCCTTCCTCCCCACTTACTCTGAAATCTGCCAACTGGGTGCCTCTTCAGAGCTTGAGCCCCGAGCTAGTGATATGAGAAATGTAGGGGTACTCTCTCACCTGTGGAAGTTGTGGATTGGAGATGTTCTGTCTAGGAAGGCAGTGTCTTGGGGCCTCAGGGTTAGACATGCCCTAAGAAAGGTGACAGCCACAGCTGAGAGTCAAAGATACAGCCCTGTCCTTAGACAGTGGTGGCCATTTGCCCTCCAGTTGTTTCTCAGATCCTTTGAGGCTTGAGCGAGGAGTGCTGCCACCAGTGGTCACCTATATTTGAGGAGTGTCAGGCAGCACTGTGTTCTCAGGGGATTACAGGAGAGCTTGACATTCAAAGCTGAGGTGCCTGCTTTTCTGAGACTTCTTCAGACAGCACAGAGGGTGGGTCTTCCCTCCTGCTGAGGCTCTTGTTACAAACTTTCACAACGGAAGACCTGCTGTTGGCCCTTAAAGATGCAAGAGTCAGTCAGAGATGAGTGGTCCATCCAGGCAGGTCTGGCTTCTGTGAGACTCCGTTCCTTAGAGCTGTGGCCGGAGAAGAGCTCTCCAAAGACTGCTTGACTGAGGGGACATGTGACCAGGGTGCAGCATTGTGTGGCACCTCCTGAGGTTCACCTGTCTTCTGGGCACTGGAGGCCATGAGTGGAGGATGGTATCTAAGGGTTCAAAAAGAGATCCATGAAAAGGATGTCAGACCTGATTTCCAGAGTTCCCAGGTGTAAGGCTAGCCAATGCTGAGTATGTTGGGCAGCCTGGGCACTATGTCAAGGTGACCCCAGTTGACGGGCTTGGGGATGGGCGCCTCCTTTGGACATCTCTTTTCCTCAGTTGTTAACTGCCATGATTCTATGGGAGTAGGAGTAGGGTCTGTTGTTTCTGTCACAAGTTGGGGGCCTGGGCAGATGCTGGCTGGCTGGGCTTGGTAGAGAATGGGGCCAGCTGAGGACATCTATCCCTGGCTCTACAGAGTAGGTGACATCCATGGGCTAGTAGATCCCAGAAGTCCTGGCTGGCACGTTGAGGGTTGGGTAGGTTCTGGATCCTTTTGCTCTGAATTTTGTCAGTAGACAGTGTCTTTGTTTATAGACACTTGCGTGACCCAGTTTAGATATCCCAGTGGGGAAGCCAGGGGATCAACAGCAACCCCAGTCTGTATTTCTGTTTCAGAGTTTTTTCAGATTTCTTTTCCTAAGCCTTTATTTCCATGAATGTCAGATGTGAGTTGATTTTTCACTGCAGCTTCAGTGAGGGTGTGGTTCCTGCTTAGTTTCTGTGGAAAAGTGTTGCCACTGCCCTTCCCTATAAGGAATACAGGGGAGCAACACCCCCACTTCTCATTTTCCTCCTCTAGGGCATGTCTGTGAACCATCTCCTACTACATACATCTGGAATGAAAGGATAGGAGGCAGTGGTATTCTGAGATTTGATTTCCCAAGAAATAGGCCTTTTGGAATTATTACTGCTACTCTGGGGTAGAGGTGGGTCAGGTTCTATCAGGATGCCCAAGAACTGCTTTGATTAATTAGTTGTTGGTTTCTCTGGATAACATACCCTGGTTTTCACCTTTTGGGAAAAGACTTTGGTGTTTTACCTTAAATGAAGGTAATGAATGGGTTTGTGTCTGCTTTCTGAGGTTCTCCTTTGCTGCATAGTAGGTGCAGTTGTTTGACCTCCACTAGGGGGCGCCTTCTGTCACTTTGACTAAGTTCTCTGATGTCACGGGGTCATTTTAAAAACTGGTAAATGGTTCTATTTTGTGTTGGGGGGGCTTTCATTGTCTTTTGTGGGGGATATATTTTAGCTCGTTTATCTAATCGTCAACTTGGCCAAGCAACGTTTGGTCACATTCAGATACTATCCTGGTGACAGATATCCCTGTCCTCTTTGTCCCAGGGACATCCTGATTACCAGCGTGGATGCCATGACAACATTCAAGGACCTCTGTGAGGAAGTGCGAGACATGTGTGGCCTGCACCAGCAGCACCCACTTACCCTCAAGTGGGTGGACAGTGAAGGTAGCCTCAGTCTTGGGACGGTCAGTCTGAGCTCTGCTGGGCTTTGGCTCTCCTGGGCTTTGGCTAGGCAGCCTCTCCCATGAGTTGAACAGCTGAACTTGTTAGAACCAACAGTTCCTCAGTAGGGGCTGCTGCAAATGGGCAAATAGGGTACAGACAGGGCAGCACTAAAAGCTGGGCAAAGGGGGTTGTTCCTGCTTCATGGGGACCTATGATCTCAGCTGAGGGGGAAGAAGATTGGTGTATCTCCTGGCTCCCACCTGACTCCTTACCTGACTTTCCTGTGTCCTGGGGTTTAGGAAGGACTAGCTGGCTGGGCAGTGGTGGTGCACGCCTTTAATCCCAGCACTTGGGAGGCAGAGGCAGGTGGATTTCTGAGTTCGATGCCAGCCTGGTCTACAGAATGAGTTCCAGGACAGCCAGAGCTACACAGAGAAACCCTGTCTCAAAAAAAAAACCCCCCCCCCCCCAAAAAAAAAAAAGAAGAAGAAGGACTAGCTGCCTAGAAGAACCGGGAAGCTAAGTCTAGTCCTGAGGCATCTGCTCCCTGCCTTTTGGTTTATCTCCTCTCTCCTTTCTTATCTCTCTCCTTTGTATTTCCTTTTCTCCCTCCTGTCTTTGTTTTTCCCTCCTCCCTTCCTTCTTTTCTCTTCTCCCCCTCCTTTCTGTCCCATCTCTCTTGCTTACTTTCTCTTTCTCCCTCCCTCCCTCCCTCCTTCCTCTTTCTTTACCACATCTAGAACCATCAGAAACTGGGATAGGTTGAGGGATAGTTGGGAGAGACTCCTTTTGCACCACTGACTGCAACTGTCAGTCAGAAACACTGTAGCAGGCAGAGCGTGTAGCACATGGCTTCTCCTGTTTCAGCAGGACTGTTGGCATATGGGGCTGGTTTTGTGCAGCTCTATGTCCATCAAAGCTAGGGAGACCTCCACTTTGGAGGAGGTTCTAGGTCCTATTGCTACCCCTCAAGTTCTCAGAGCTCCCAAGGCTGTGATTGGATATGACTTCTTTCCAGGTTCAACAGGTTCTTACAAGAGGGAAAATCAGCTCATTGCTTTGGATGGCTGTTCTGGAATCTCTGCTGATCATGAGCGATGAGACTTTGCCCACCCAAACTTCTGTCTGTACTGCTGATTGAGCACTGGTACTGAGTAGCTCAGACCTCTTCACCTTCTGTGGCCTCATTGGTACCTCTTGCCTCCGCCCCCAGGTGACCCTTGTACTGTGTCCTCACAGATGGAGCTGGAGGAGGCCTTCCGCCTGGCCTGTCAGGGCAAGGATGAAGTGCTCATCATCCACGGTAAGTGAGCAATCTGGGGCAGGTTCCTCATCTGTCCACTTGGTCTGTGGAGATAAAAGGCTTGTCTTATTTGGCTTATACATCCTGATCACAGTCCATCACTGAGGGAAGCCACGGAAGGAACTCAAGCAGGGCAGGAATCTGGAGGCAAGAGCTGAAGCAGATACCTGCCCAGGGGTGGCACTTCCCAGGGGTGGCACCACCCTGGGTGGACTGGGCCTTTCCACAGCAGTCATTGATGAAGACAGTGTCCCATAGACTTGTGTAAGGGCCAGTCTGATGGAGGCATCTTCTCAATTGAAGTTCCCCTTTCTCAGATAACCCTGGCTTGTGTCCAGTGTACACCAAACAAGAACATAGCCTGAGGGACTCTCCTCAACTACAGGGATCTTCTTCCGACATCTAATGATTGGAAGCCATATGGAGCCTGGCAGTATAAAATCCTATAATGCTCTTATGTGCTTGTAAAAGTAAGTTTATGGGAACGAAGAGATGGCTCAGTGGCTAAGAACACTTGCTTTTGCACAGGACCTGAGATCTGCTCTGAGCACCCATGAGTTGGCTAACAGCTGTCTGTAACTATAGTCCCAGGGGGATCCAATGCCTCTTCTGACCTCTGCAGACCCCTGCATTCATGTGGTATACATACGTACGTTGAATCAGAGACACACACACATAACATGTAAAAATAAAATTTTTAAGAGTAAATTTACTTAATTAGAAATGTGTTGTTCTATTTATTTATTGTATGCATGCACATGCAAGCACATGTGTGTATGTGTGTATATGTGTGCACGCATGCCACCATCCATCAGGCTTTGATGGTAGATGCCTTTACATACTGGCTTTGTGGCACAGGCCTGAAATCCTGTTCCTTGAGAAGTGGTGATAGGAAGACTGAGAAAAATTCAAGAAGAACTCGTGCTGTAGAATCAGTGAAAGCCAGTCCAGACTTTGTTTCAAAGTAAAGAGTAAAAAGAGTAGGGTGCTATGGGTCCTATAGCTCAGCCAAAGAAAGCCTACCTAGCATTCTTAAGGCCCTGGGTTTAATTCTTAGTGCTGCTTTTTAAAATTTAATTTTCAAGATAATGGCTGTCCTTTCTTATTTCTGAGTTATGTTACTAATGAGAACTGCTAGCTTCCCTTGATAGGTCTGCTTTTTTTTCTTTATTAAAGTATTTATTTACATTCTAAAAGTTGCCCCCCATTTCGGGCCCCCACTCCCTGAGTTCTACACATACACACACACACACACACACTCAGACACACACATACACACACACATAGACACACAGCTCTGCTTTCAAAAGCCTTTTTCCCTGGATCCCTACATGGGGTTTGACACGGAGATATGATTGGGCTTTTGAGTTTCTGCTGAGGAATGTCTTCCAGGGTCCTCAACTGGGTGGTGGTACCACACGCCTTTAAAATCCCAGAACTCTGGAGTCAGAGGCAGGTGAATCTCTGAGTTTGAGGCCAACCAAGGCTGTTACACAGAGAAAGCCTGTCTCAAAGAAAAAAGGAGGAAGAGGAAGAGGAGGAGGAAGAGGAGGAAGGGGAGGGAGTGGGAGAGAGAGAAGGAGAGGGAGAAGGAGAAGAACAGAACCTCCTAGGGACTGACTGGGGGGAACAATTTGATCTGACTCAGTGCAGACTTTCCCTGAGACATGGTATTAATGACACATCAACCACTAATTTTATCATTTCCCTTCTTTTTATCCAGTTTTCCCAAGCATCCCAGAACAGCCGGGCATGCCTTGTCCTGGAGAAGACAGTGAGTGTTCAATTAAAAACTTACTTGTTTTACCATTTGTATATGGGTGTTTTGCCTGTATGTATGTCTATGTATCCCATGAGCACATGAGTGCCTGCAGAGGCCAGAAGATGGCATCATATCCCCTGAAACTGGAATTACCGTTATCAGCCGCCAAGTGGGTACTGGGATTCAAACTCAGGTACTCTGCATGAACAGCCAGTGCTCTTAACCACTGAGCTGTCCTTCTAGCCTGGGTGCTCCAGTTTTAAATTTCCTCTTAACATGTGCCATGTGCTACAGGTAGAACTGCTGTTCACTATGCCAGGGCAGTGAGTGGGTTCTGTGTGTGAGGAGGGGGCCTTGGGACCCAGAGTCATTTACACCCGGTGAAGACTCCTAACCTTGACGTGAACAGTGCTGTAACCTCAAGAGTCCTTTTCACTCTGCCTAGCTTTTGCATTGTTCTGTGGCTATGATGTGGCTGACTGGGCCTTTTGGGTGCGGGGGGGGGGGGGGGTGAGGATAGGAGGTGTGGTTGGCTCGGTTCTTAGGTGGCAGAGTAGAAGATCCACAGAGTGTCCTATTTATCCCAGGAGGAAAAAGCTATGCATCTGTAGTACTATGTCTGCCCCAGTGTAGGCCACTCCAGGCCCGGCCTTTCCTCCTGACTTGTGTTGATCCATTCAATGTCCCTCTGGGTCAGTTGGTAGGAGAGGAGGAAATCAGGTCTCAGGAGTGATAGGTTCTGAGGGGAGCTATGCCTTTGCCTCTGATTGTGTCCTGGAGGCCATGCTTAGGTGTTAGGGGGTAGTAAGGCTCCTGGGGGTGTCAACTTTTGGCTTACCTGATTAGTGAAGGAGAAGTACCTGAAGTTGTACAACTTAGTGTGACTAAAGAAGGCAGGTGGTTGGCATATGTGTTTTGACTCCAGTGGGATGGGGAACAGCCCAGGGTCATAGGGTAGGAAGGCCAAGGGAGAATATCAATACAGTGTGTTTGTGCCCATATGGGAGTGTACCTCAAAGAGGCCTGTGACAGACTGTGTGGTGTGGAAGCTGATGTTTCCTCTGGGGTGCCCATGTCCTGTGGAGGGACAGGCATCTGTCATCTTTTATGAGTATGTGAAACAATAAAATAAGGCAGAGGCTGGCAAGATGGCTCAGCTCTTGCCTGATGATGTGAGTTCAATCCCTGGGACCCATGTAAAAGCGGGAGACAGCCAGCTCTATGGTTATATGCACATGTACCTGAACTCACACACACCATATATACATATACATGCTCACACAATAATCATAAAGTTTAAAAAAAGAACAACATAGTTGTTGAAGAGGGAAGATGAGGTGGTTCTTTCACGCCGATGTTCAGTACCCTAGCTTGGTAGCCCCTGGCCTGCTTCCGGTCTCGGGATGGGGTTTGTCGGTTGGTGTCTGCCTGCCACCTGGATGGCCTTTTTTGGCTGTGGTGACAAGATTGGGTTCGTCTACCTCGTATTGGGAGAGTCTCCAGGAAGCTCCTGTGATCGAAGGGCAAAAGGGTAGCTCAAGGTGTTTGTGCTGTGTCTCAGCCCTGCCCCAGGGGTATAGGCCTGCTGGCATCCTGTTTGTGTGTGCATGCTGTAGGGAGGGTACCTTGAGTTGGTGGAGCTGATGCCATACAGTGTTGTCACTAAATGTATAAGAGCCTTGGATCTCTGTTGAAGAGTAGAAGTCGGGTGTGACAGGGTGGGTCCCTACTGCCCCATGGGCATGCCAAGACTGTATCTGAGCCTTAAGGGCTAAGCTGGTGACATGAATAGGCCCTTGGGAAGATTGCTAGGGGGAGGGAGGGATCAGTCTCTGATAGACACTCAGTTTTGTCCAAACGTGCCATAGAACCTTTGCTGAGATCAGAAACTGAGCACCACAGAAGATCAGTGGATGATCGACAGGCCAGGATCTTGCTTATGGACCACCCTGCCCTGGCTGGATGTTGCACTAGGGTATAGAAAGGCTTCTATTCCTTTGGGGCCTGGAATGTGTGACCCTAGCAAAAGGTCCCATAGGATTTGCGTGTTGGCATTCTGTTGCACTTCCCACTTGATCCTTGTACCCATCTCTGGCGCAGGAAACCCCTGTTCTAGTTGTCCAGGGGAACTGTGTGACTTTGTTGCCTGAAAGATATTTGTGTTTATAGTTTTGCTAAGGGTCAGCGAGGAGGGTCAGCCTGGTGGGATGTAAATGACAAGGGTGAACATCTTTGAGCTTTACTAGGACAAGGTAAGATAGACAATGGACACATGAGTAGACCATAGACAAAGGTGGATACAATTTTGCAAACTTTGCCAGACCTGGCTGACATGGAGCAAGGGAGTGTCTGAGAGTGTCACATTGTATCTCAGCTCATCACCTTTCAACCCTCTGAGCTCCTGGTGCTATTAAAACTCTAACCTGCTTCTAAGCTAACTATCTTAATTGTAAAGTGCTTAGTTAAATTTTACCACTTGGAAGCATACAGCATTAGAGCAGTACCCACTGCTCAGCTGCCACCACCTCTACCCCATCCCATACTTCAGCAGCCACCCAGTGCCCTAGCTTGGCAGTCCCCCACCCCCCCTCCAACCCCCCCAGGCCTTCCCTTCTGCCTTCATTCTGTCTGGGTGTGTCTTACTTAGTTAGGGTTTTACTGCGGTGAACAGACACCATGACCAATGCAAGTCTTATGAAGGACAACATTTAATTGGGGCTGGTTTACAGGTTCAGAGGTTCAGTCCATTATCATCAAGGTGGGAGCATGGCACCCTCCAGGCAGGCGTGGTGCAGTAGGAGCTGAGAGTTCTACATCTGAAAGCTGCTAGCAGAATATTCACTTCCAGGTAGCTAGGACTAGGGTATTAAAGCCCACACCCACAGTAACACACCTACTCCAACAAGGCCACACCTCCTAACAATGCCACTCCCTGGCCTAAGCATATACAAACCTTCATATAGGGGTTTGTCTGTTCTGGCTATCCCTTGTGAAGAAATATGTTTCCTGTCCTTAAGCTCAGCTTGTTTTTCTTAGTGTCACCCTGAGGTTCTTCAGTGTTATAACTCATCAGCACTTCACTCCTTTTCTGTTTTGTTTTGGGTTTCTCTGTGTGGCCCTGGCTGTCTTGGAACTCACTCTGTACACCAGGCTGACCTCAAGCTCAGAGATCTGCCTGCCTCTGCCTCTCAAGTGCTGGGATTAAAAGCGTGTACCACCACTGCCTGGCTCCTTTTGTTTTTTTTAATTTTTAAATTTCTGGGAGAATATACACAATTAAGTTTTTATTTATGCAAGTACATTGTAGCTGTGTCCAGACACACCAGAAGAGGGCACTTATTACAGCTGTTTGTGAGCCACCATGTGGTTGCTGGAGACTGAGCTCAGGACCTTTGGAAGAGCAGTTAGTGCTCTTAACCACTGAGCCATCTCTCCAGCCCCATAATTAAGTTTTTAATTATTTTTTCTTTTTCTTATTTTCTTTTTTCCCTTTCTTTTCCCCCTTGAGATGGGGATTTCAGTGTTACCCAGGCTGCCCTTGAACTCTTAGATCCAAGCAGTGCTCCTGTCCCAGCACCTGGAATAGCTAGGACTTCAGCATCCTTTGCCTGCCTGTGTTTGAATTAAGCTGGTTTTGTTTTAAGGCTTTATTTATTTTTATTTTATGTGCATTGGTGTTTTGCATGTTTTGTTTCTGTCAGAGGGAGTCAGAGCCCCTAGAACTGGAGTTAGGGACAGTCACTAGGGAGCTGCCATGTGGGTAGTGGGAATAGAACCCAGGTCCTCTCGAAGAACAGCCAATGGTTTTAACTGTTGATCCATCTCTCCAGCCCCTGAATTGTGCTGTTTTTTTTTTGTTGAGAGTTAGGGACTGTTTGTATACTCTACATCTTAGTCTCTGCTCAGTGATGGGTTACAAATACTTTCTTTTCCTGTGTGTTGATTTGTTGTTGTTGTTGTTGAAAGACCCTTTTGACATTCATAGTGTTAAAGTGTTTAAGTTGTTTGTTTTTCTCTTTTGTTGCCTCTGTCTTTGATGTCACATCTGAAGGGTTGTTGCCAAGTACCATGAATTTGCTTGAATTTTCTTCTACAGTTTTATAGTTTGAACCTTAATTGTGTTTTTGTATGCATGTGTCTTGTGCGGCAATGGAATCATGGACCTATAACATGATAGGTAAGAACTTTACTGCCAAGCCACACTCAGCCTTAGAGTTTTGTGGATTCTATTTCATATTTGGGTCATTGATCCATTTTAGGTTAGGTCTTGTTCTTTTTTTTTTTTCTTTTTTTTTTCTTTTCTTTCTCCCTCCCTCCCTCCCTCTCTCCCTCCCTCCCTCCCTCCCTCCCTCCCTCCCTCTCTCTCTCTCTCTCTCTCTCTCTCTCTCTCTCTTTCTCTCTTTCTCTCTCTCTCTCTCTCTCTTTTTACTTGAGACAGGTTTCCCTGTGTAACAGAGCCCTGACTGTCCTGGAACTTGATCTGTAGACTAGGCTGGCCTTGAACTCAGAGATCCACCTGCTTCTGCCTCTTGAGTGCTGGGATTAAAGGCTTATACCAACTTGCCCAGTTTAGCTCTTGTATTTTATGTCTGGTAAGAATTCTAACTTTTTCTTGTACTATTTGTTGAAAAGATTCTCCTTTTCCTGATGAGGGTCTTGGCACCCATGTTAACCATGTTCATGTATATACAAGGATTTGTTTCCAGGTTCTCTGTTTGTCATGGTTTGCATATGAATGCCAACCATAGGCTCACATGTTCGTAGATTTGGTCCAGAGCTGGTGGTGCTGTTCAGAGGTTTGAAACTTTTGGACACTGGACTTCAAAGGCTTAAATGGTGGAGCTAGAGGTTATAGCTCACAAGTGTTAGTGTGAGCTCTCTGCTCCAAGATGTGAGGAAGTTGTCAAACGCCCCCGCTACCACACTGGTCTCTGCTTTGTCAAACCGTGAGGCAAGGCACATCTCCCTTTAGTGGCTTTTTATCAGGAAAGTGATGGCCATATTATTCCATT